ATTGATTGAATCATACAATCTAGGAGGTTAAATGTAACAACAGTTCTGTATTATGCATAAATGATCGAGGAGTGCATGTCAATGGTTAAATATAACTCTCATATTGAAGACTTCTATTTTTTCTTGTTAAGACATTTAAATTACAATCATTTTTTGTTGTTTCTTTAAAAACAAATACAGAGCAAGTTAGTTATATATATGTCAATCTGTCAAACTCCAAAAAATGGAAGTTTGAGGAACTGCCTATGGTCAGTCCTATCTTATATGCATTGTGGGTTGGCTAGATATTATTTCTCATTCCATTATTATAATCAGGGCACGTGCAACGGTTATTATACTAATATATTCCATTACTATATTACGTGATAGACGATTTCATTTATATATATATATATATATATAGAGAAATATTCAGGTCAGGTATACCTGACCACTGCCCCCGTCCGGCCTCCTCCATTTGGGGGTCTTCCCGATAGTATTTTTTGCTCAAATTTTTTTTGTAGGTTCCTCATTAAGTCTAGTTCATCCATACCAAATTTCAGCCAAAAATTCAATCGGGAAGGTCGTCAAATGATTTTTGCAAGTTAACTGGTCCGGAATATGTATTTTCCGGACCAGTTAACTTGAAAAAATCATTTGACGACCTTCCCGATTGAATTTTTGGCTGAAATTTGGTATGGATAAACTAGACTTGATGAGGAACATACACAAAAAATTTGAGCAAAAAATACCACCGGGAAGGCCCCCAAAAGGAGGAGGCCGGGACGGCGGCTCCGGTCAGGTATACCTGACCGGAAGATTACTCTATATATATATATATATATATATATATATATATATATATATATATATATATATATATATATATGTATTTTCCGGACCAGTTAACTTGCAAAAATCATTTGACAACCTTCCCGATCGAATTTTGAGCTGAAATTTGGTATGGACAAACTAGACTTGACGAGGAACATGCTCAAAAAATTTCATCAAAAAATTCCACCGGGAAGGTGCCCAAATGGGCTCGGGCCGGACGGGGCAGCCCGTCAGGCCGGCCTGACATGAAGAGCACTATATATATATATATATATATATATATATATATATATATATATATATATATATATATATATATATATATATATATATATAAAGATTGCCTATGATTACCGTAAGTAATACTTTTTGTGAATTTTCAGACTGTTAAAAAAGGAGGGTTAATCGATCAAGGAGCTTCTCATACTTGTGTGAACCTCCTATTTGGAGAGGATGACGTAAGCATGTATACGTTACTACTTATTATTAGTGTCAGTGTGCACCAATGCTTCGGTTTATATTGTCTGTGAGTACTGATACGTTACTACATGTGTGAATTATCAGACTGTTGGCGAAGGAACCCACCCACTTGATCAAGGAGCTTCCTATACTGGTTTGAACACCCTTTCTCAAGAGTGTCATACACCCTTTGTCAAGAGTGTCATACGGAGCTTCCTATATTGTCTGCGTACCGATACGAGTAATTAATATGGTTAATATGGTTCTCCGTGACCTTAATATTACTTGTCTGTGAGTTTCATATATTGTCTGTGAGATTTAGGTGACTTGTTTGTGATCTTCGTATTGTTGTTTGAGAATAACATGAATACATTCTTTTGCAGAGCATAATGTCTGTTTGCACCGGCAATTGTATATTTTTACGTGTTATTATCGTCTGTGCATACCGACAATAAGGGTCGGCTTCACACAGTTGACATTGTTTACTTTGATGAAAATGGATATTTTGCTTGAAGGATGTCATAAAATATAAGGGCTTCCAGGTTTGTAGTTATCTAAGGTTTTTTAAAATTCAAAAAATCTAGGAACAGGACAATTGTATGAATTCCCAATGAAACTGAGATTCGGAACTACATCTTTCTCATTGTGCTATATATCAATGTGTTGTCTTTTAAATTGCACTAACACATATGTTGCATTTATTTAGGTAAGAGCCGGGAAAAAAAGCGAGTCAATGTTCCTCATGTTGCAGATGAAGTGGTGATCGCAAATGTTGAAGTTTTAGATTTAGATTTTAACATGACATTAAATTTTGTACAAGGTTGTAACTTGAATGTCAAACTTTAATGCATCTACATTTTGTAAACATTTCCTCTATTTGTATAAACAGTTGTAAGTTTATGTAATGGAATGTGTTTGTGGTATCATATTGTATGTTAATGGAATGTGTCTATGTCCATCGACAGTAATAGGTGTGTTTATTATTAATTTCTGTGTGCACCGATAGTAATATGTGTATTGTTGTTGTTATTGTTTGTGTTCACCGACAATAATACTTGTGTTGTTGTAATTATTGTTTAAGTGCACTGCAATAATACTTGTGTCTTATTCCTATTATTGTCCGTGTGCACCGACAATAATACGTGTGTTGTTATTTTTGTCTGTGTGCACCAACAATAGTGTCTGTATAAGTACTTAATGTGTAGTTATAACAAGTCTGTCACCTATAACAGTATCAAAATGCATAAACCATGATCCTTACATTACATCAAACCCAATGTCATATTCAAATTTAAATATAAAATTCATACATTTGCGCTTGGGACTTGCGGTCCAAGTTCACGAGTAGTAATATAAGTTGTCTTTAATCACACAAGTATAAAAATTGAAGACACGTTAAATTACATTACAACAAACTTAATGCCATGTTCAAATCCAAATCTAAAACTTCAACATTCGCTACCCCACTTCATCTCCAACTTATTTACAAGTGAAAAAGGAGCAATAAATGTCAATCAGTTTCTTCTTCAGACGCCAAAGTGGTATAGCAAACTGACATCTAACGTTCCACATGTTGGCGTAGTCACAACCTGATTTTAATGGTAATTGCAACAACAAATTCTCCGCAAACGCCATGACCATGACTCCACACTCTCTAGCGCTGTAACCACAACCAGTGTCGACAAAGTTAGCAATAAGAAGCGTACATACATTAATGTTGGTGTACACAGACAATTACATGCTATTTCACATACCCTTACAAACATGCAGAAACACAAATGACTTTATCAATTCTAATTAAGATACGTACAATTGTATTACTAATGAAATTTATTTAAGATTATTGGAAAAACAAACTAAGACTCCAAAACTACGAGAAGTATAATTTATGGCATATATGCAAAACAAGAACTTAGTATAAGACAAAAATCACAATGAAAAGTAGTAATCTTTCCATTTCATAACTTTCATGCTTAACCTTGGCAACCACTATCAGACTATAGATTAAGGTCATAACATGGTCAAATAAAAACACACATGTCTTGAATCATGAGTAAATACTTAAAGGGTACTAGAAAATAAAGCAAATAAAGAGTTCTTATTTACCTTCAAAGCGTCCTTGAATTTCTCACTGTGCTTTGGAAACGGTAGCTTCTATCATTCATGTCTTCAGTATGGGAGATATGTAGCTAATTACATAGTAGTAATTGCAGAGATTCTACCACCCATTTTAAAAATGGAATCAAAATTATGGAACACTTAAGATGCTTATTTACATTGTGGGGAAGAACAATTGAAATTAAAATATAGACATTGAATGGCTGTTACAACATAGTATGCATGTAGTGGTATTTTAAAAACTCTCCAAACAAAAATACTTGACTTGTTTCCCCTTTTAATAGGGTTCCTTTATTAATCACAAATACAGAACTTACCAGTCAAAAGAAAGAAAATCTGAAATCAATTTTGATGGTTTGAAGCACTCAGCGATCACATCTCAAACAAAGCGGCTACCTTTACAAGATAATGTTTTCTCGGTGAACTAAGGGTTGACGGACCAAGTTATATATTGTTACCAAGTCATGAAACCAATACTAGTTAGCCAACTAGCTAGACCTAGGAACCAAAATTCATACTCTCGCACATATAAATCCAATACACCTTTCTTTTCCATTACTCATTGCCTAACATATACTTTTGTGCTACGAAGAAATACATTGGCATAAAGATACCTTTCTTCACAAACATCAAACAAAATAGAAACGATAAATTATAGCTTTCCATGACCTCGTCACTCTTGAAAGTTACATACATTTTAAGCACACCCATTTGAATTTTTTTTTCATACTTAGCATAAAGTATTTTTATCTCCACACCTCTGTCACCACATCCCTCTAAAATAAGTATTGCATCTGCTCTCTATAAACAAAGGGAAAGAAAAAAGATCACTTTCGGGTGGAATACACCTTTAGTAACTTCCAATCGGTAACTTTTAGATATGGCTAGGAGATTAAGGAAATATATATTCTATCTGTTTACAATGACTCATTGACGAAGTCATTACGGTGATAAACTGAAACAAACTTTGAACACTTTATTATTGTCAATGCACTCATTAAAAATAACTCCTCTATAAATTTTCCACTTAGAAAATCTGAATAAGGGTAAATTGAACACTAGTGATTAACTCATTCACATATACAACATTCATCTTTGTAGGTATGCATCAACTCAATGAGGATTTCTTCAGTTGTCTATGCATACCGACACTACTCTGTACACAACGACATTAGTTGTCGGTACACACCGACACTGAGTATGTAAGTTGTCTGTATGTCAAAGAAAATACCTCCAACATCTGTGTTCATGTTCTCCCTGCTATTCTCTTCCCCGTCACATCTGTAATCATCTCGGCCGTCAAATATCGGAACTTCGTTGACGCCTTGTGTCACAGGTCTGCCACCCGTCCCACCTAAGTCTTCGTCCCTAGGGTTGTTCGGACCACCATCTATCTTCCTCATTCACAGATCCACCATTTCCGTCCTCCATCGCAACTCCATCTTCTTCGTACACAGCTCCCCCATTTTCGACGTTCAGAGCTTCCACGTTTCTTCCATTTCCGTTGTCCGTCATCCATCGCAGGTAAGGGGTATCTTCCAAACCTCCATCGTTTCCGGTCACTTCTCCATCCACCATCAAATATGCTAGAAAATCATCCATGATATCTGGAAAGAAAAAAATAAAAAAACAGAGAGAAAGGTGGGAAGAAGAGAACGAATAGGGAGGGATGTGGGAGAGAAAGAAATGTGCGTGAGGAATGGGGATGGGAGAGCTGTGTGAGAAGAGGGGTAAAGAAAGCAGTAAAAAAAGAAGGTTATATATGGTGTACCCCAGGGTGTAACCCAGGGTGTACACCAAGACTTTTTGAAAAGTATTTATTTTTTGTGTACTCGTATTATTTAAGTAAACTATTATATAAAAGGTGAAATGTTTTTACACACTTCTTAAACTATTTCTAGTAAGAGCACTATAGGAGTCAAAAATGTTAAAAATGATACTACATATTACTGCAGATTGACTTCTATTTGTGTGCATTGATGAGTATTTTGGGGTGGATATATGTACCACTTCCGGTTGGAGATAGATAGAGATGGAGAACAACATTAGGATAGAGTGACATATTTTGATGAGAAAAAGATCGGAATAAAGATATGAAGGAAAAAGACAAAAAGTATTGGATAAGAAATTGGATAAGAAAATGGAGTTGGACATAAATATGAAAGGGGAGTTAGGATGTTTTTATTGGGACTGTAATTTGCTGGTCTGGTCTGGTCTGATCTGGTCTGGTCTGAACTGGTCTGGTCTGGTCTAGTAAGGTCTGGTTTCTTTGTATTTTTATATCTATCCAAGTCTGGTCTGGACTGGTCTGGTCTGGTCTGAACTGGTTTGGTCTGGTCTGGACTGGTCTGATTTGGGGCAAATTACAGTCCAAGTAAAAACATCCTTAGATTGCAAAGAAATGCAAAAATCATGAGGAAACAAAATATGGAAGGAGCAAATGGATGGATGATGTAATGATGATGTAATAAAAGAGTTTTTATTAAAAAAAGAGAGCTTAAGATGCTTTAGAATTATGTGAACGAGAAAAAAGGTCTAACAATCCAACTACGGAGTATAATTGAAATTTAAAGATTGAAAAAAATTGTTGCATGTTAGAAGAGAATCAAATAATAACTGAATTTTACTTGAAATTGTTTATTTTTTATTAACTGGAAAAGCCCAAAAAATAATTTAACCACTTAATTTTTTGAATTGAAATGTGCATATTTACATTTTATAATTCTTCAAAAGAATTTAAAAATTCATTGCGCACAATAATTTAAATAATGTTTTATGAACCTGATATGCATAAAACACTCCGAATGCAGAGTGCATATTATTATTAACTTGTATTCATATTAAAAAAAATTGATATTTGAATTTATTGACGTGGTGAAGATACAAATAATACCACATCCATCCTAAACATTGTTTGACAAATAATATTTTTTTTTCATTATTCCTTAAATGAAAAGCACAAAGTTGCCTCTGAAAATGATGACGAACAGCATCCTAGTGCACATAACATGTACGAGTAGAATTTTTCAGGTACACCTTTTGGGTTACACGTCACTTACACCATTTGTACACCCCTCTATACTTGAGGGATAATAAGAGGGTGTACAAATGGTGTACCCAAAAGGATGTACACCAAGAATAGCTCTAACATACGGAGTATATGTTACCGTTTTGGAGTAAATTCGAGAAAATTGCTCTTACTAAAGTGTAGCACTCTTTAAAAAAGTTCACCTTACACTACAAAAAAAACACGGGATTGACAGAGATTTTGGCAGGGGTTTTGGCAAGTATTATGCCAAATCCGTTCCAAAAACACTTGGCACGAGCTATTTGGCACGAAAAATCGATAATCCGTGCCAAAATTCCGTGTCAATCCCTAACATTAATCAGGATGTATCATTCAGGATGTAACATTAATCGATAATCACGAGCTATAATCAGGTTAACCTAACATTATGGTAATTTTACTGGCCAAAGAACTATTTCATTCAGGATGTAGCACAATAATGAAGAAATACAAAAACAACAGACCAAATACATATATATGAGCCCCAACTTTCTAAAGACCGTTAGAATGGAACATGATTAGTTTTTCGTAAAGTGGTTGCCAGCTTGGAAACACACATCTTAGAGAATAGACATATTTGTAAGAATGTCTATTATTCGCCGTGAATCTATGTTGTATCTTGTCATTCTCGTGGCATTATTCCTCTAATTGAGGATTATGTTTGACGTTAATCCTCGTTTTGTTTCCATTATGTTAGAACAGTTCTAACGGCTTCGGCTTTAATTTCCACTTAGTTTCCTTTATCTTCATTGTTTTTATCACTATGGGTTGGGCAATTCTCTTTGACCATAAGCTATTTCTT